TGAGGTGCTAATCTATCGGGACCATGAGTTTTATTGGCCCTGATTCTCCTCAAAACTTGGAGGACCTCGTCCGGAGAAACAGGGTTAATTGCATCATGGGTAGGAAACGGAGGTGGGAGGGAGTTAGATGCACGTACAGAAGCAAATTGATGGTTAAGTACCTCAACATTGGGACAAGAACTGATGCGTGAGCCACAGAGTTTCCGCAAGGTAGTCCACATCTCACGAAAGTTTTTATTGCCCAAAACAGTCTCGACGTACATCCCGTTTAGGCGTCTTACTTCTGCTGTAATCAGAACAGAGAGCTCTTTGACACTGTTACGCCTGCCGGCCATATATGCCGTCTCTTTAGCATGAAAAAGTCGCTTAAGCAGGGGGGGAGGAAAACCTATCGGTTCGAATATAAATAGTTTCAACAAGACAGCATTGGTCATAGCAGAAATTAAGATAATCGGTAAGGTGTTTACAAGAAGAAGACAGCTGATTATGGAAGAACACAGAAAAGTCAGTGGAAGAACCTGAGTCCCGCAGTCGGGACAAGTTCTCAGGACAACAATTTCTCTTCCGTAGCGTACGAGAAGTGGGTCGTATATGAAGGCAGTGATTAGTTTTACAATCTATTTTGATGTAAAGAAGAATGGTGCAGTGGTCAGAAGTACTAATTGGGGCTCGTTTAAAACGTGAAACACATTGGGACTATTTACATAAATGCCATCAAGAAAGGCATTGTTACGGGTAGGAAAATGTACAAGGTGCAAAACGCATAGCGAACATGGCAACACTAGCATCCAACCTATCCAGAAAAGCTTGCAAAGCTAAATAGAAAAGGAGAGAGAGAGGGCAACCCTGTCGAACACCACTTTCCGTGGTGAACTCGAGTGAAAAAGTGCTGTAAGCTCGGACTCGGCTTCGGCTATTATTGTAGAGGGATTGTAATATTGAAATAAACTTCTCGGGCACCCCTTCAGGGAAAGGCAGCGCCAGAGTTTAGAGCGGTTGACTGAGTCGAAAGCCGCTTTCAGGTCGAGGAGGATGGAACTGATGGGTCTACGAAAAGAGTGTCTGTGATCTAGGATTTGACGACGAATAAAGATGTGGTCCATACAACCTGGAACAGGTATAAAACCAGTCTGGTTCCAACGCGTGCATCCTTCACGAGCGGTAGACAATCGACAGAATATGATAACGGCGAGAAGTTTAGAGGCAATGTTAATTGAACTAATTCCTCTGTGGTTTTCACAGAAGGATCTATCACCTTTCTTGTAAATCGGTATAATCACCGATTCACACCATTCAATTGGAACCTCTTCCCTCTCCCACATTGAGCCCAAGAGTTTTGTTAACTACAAAACCAAGGCTGAGTCTCCATTCTTAAAAACGGATGGGGACAGCCC